TATTGGAATAATTCTTCTACAGGACAATCGAAAACGGGAATAGAAGGAAATCATCCGATTATTCAGCTATTCGCCACCTGGAAAATACAGATCGACTTAAGATCAAACAATTTCTTGTTTTGTGAAAATATAAAGGGAATTACATTCGTAATCCCGTTTTTTTTTCCGTACAGTTGTTCGTGCTTTTTTTCATATTTTGTATAAAAACGCATATTTTCAGTGAAAATCGGTCATTTTAGTCGAAATTTTGAAAATTCCGTATGGGAGGTACTTGTAAATCGATTCCGAATGGCTTTGAACTTTCTAAGATTTATGGCGAAAAAAATAAGAATCTGAGAGTTTGAAGTCAATCGGAATCGATTACACATCCCATACAAAATAAATTTCAAGGAAATTTCGAGAAAAAATTGAGGGCCAAAAACCAAACTTATGCAATTGTGAATCGCGATCAACGTGAAACTTTCAGAATTTCATTTTTTCACCAAAAAATGAAATCTCAGAAAATTTGAAGCCAATCAAAATCGAATTGGTCTCATTTTGAGGTTTGTTGTGTCTTTGTGTGTTCACACCGAGTTTTATTGTTTTAGTTGTTGTAATTTTTTGGCGTGCGCTCGCACCACAACACATTGTTACATGTTTTGCTTTCTGTGTATACTTTTCTTCTTTTTTCTCTCACTCGCAATCGCAAACATAGAGCTGAGTCCAGTGTAATTTGATACTCGCTGAGGATGACAAACGTCGAAATGCATCCGAACCAAAATTTCGTTTAAAAATAAATATTCATATTGATTCATGTTTGAAATTTGAAAAAGCAAAGTCACTTTAAGGTGTTTTATTTAACACTATGACGGTTCTTGGGGAATTCAGGGCCCGCGATTTTCGCGGTTTTTCGCGGAACTGATAAGGGATAAGCAATATTTGTTGCAGCAAAATTATAGCAAACCTCGAGTATTACAACTTTGCCCCAGACACTATTTTGTTATCTCTTATCACAGTCCAGATTTCATATGAAGTACATATGGGGCCCTGGGGTCCCCAAAGAACAGGAATATGTGAAATGTCAGAAGAACCGTCATAGTGTTAAAATTTAATCGTAGATTGAAAAAATCTTTCCATTTCGAGAGAGAGAGAGAGAGAGA